GAGTTGTGTGTGTGAGAGAGAGTTGTGTGAGAGAGAGTTGTGTGTGTAAGAGTTATGTGTGAGAGTTGTGTGTGAGTTGTGTGTGTGTGAGAGTTATGTGTGTGAGAGATGTGGGTGTGAGAGAGAAAGAGAGAGATGTGTGTGTTGTGTGTGTGTGAGAGAGTTGTGTGTGCGTATGAGAGAGTTGTGTGTGTGAGTTGTGTGTGTGGGAGAGAGTTGTATGTGTGTGTGTTTGTGTGTGATACCAGAGGCCAATGTCCCTGTCTTCTTCAATCATGAGATAGCATCTCGTACCACATACTGTGTACTAGACCAACTGTCTTTGCTTTAGAGAGTCAGCCACGTTTAATGAGATGATACGTTTGGATTGAACCTTTTGGAACCTTTTGGAATCTGGAGCTTGCTGATGCAGCTAGAGTGTCTTGCCACTAAGCTGCAAGAATCCACTGTTCCCATCTCCATGGTGATGGGATCATATGCCTGTGCCACCGTGCCTGGATTCATGTGGGTCCTCATGCTTATGGGGCAGGCACTTTACTGACTGTGCCAGTTCCATAGTCCCTGACCCACAGAGGCATTGCAAGGTAGGTCAGACATTTTCTGTGGTGGAGATGACGGGGGAGCTGCAGTCATGTAAGAGTCAGGCTGGCAGATCACGGATTGTATGCGTTCTGCCTGAGGACCCTAAGGACAAGTGGTAGATATTTGTATTCTTAGAGGGTCCAAAGTGAAGAGGAGGCCAGAGCTCAAGGCCAGAGCACCACACGACACTTCACATGGCTGAAATATTAATGAGCAGCCATTTCCCCTTTAAGTCAAAATGAGCGAAGATGTTGGTAAAAGGACAGCGGACAGCAGAAAGGTGGGTAGAGGCGGACAGCAGTGGCACTGAGAACAGTCCCATCTCCTTCACAGACGGCAGAGTAAGGACCATGGTCACCATTCTTGGTCCATGGCTAAGGCCACAAGCCCTCTTTGCTGTTGTTTAAATCGCATCTATCTATTTTGAACGTGTGTGTATGTGTGTATACACACGTGTTATTTTCATGTGTATGCATGCATGTGCATGAGTGTGTGAGTATATGAGTCTGTGTGTACATGTGGGGTGTGTGTGTGTGTGTGTGTGTATAAGTTCTCAGAGGTAACACGCAGGGGTCAGTGTTCTCCCTGGTCTCCTTCCACCATGCGGGTCCCAGGGGTTGAACTTAGATCATTAGGTTTGGTAGCAAGTGCCTTTACCCACTGAACTGCCTTGCCAGCCTACTCAAGTCTCAACTCTCCCTGTTCCCTGCCCCTCCACACAGTCCCAGGCCAGCTCTGCCAAGCCTGCAGCTGACATTACCGTATGATGGAGAAACTGCTTTTGGGTGAGAGGAATACTGGACCCCATGTGCGACTCCTGGGTGTACTTGTACTTGGGATGAGAGCACAGATGGTAATCTATCAGCGTCTCTGCATAGGTCAGAGGGTGCTTCACAGCAAACAGTCCTGGGCTGGGATTCTATGGAAGAGAGGAAGACCAGATTGATGGTGTTTACCCGTCTCCATACCAGGCACAGGACAGGCGTCAGTGTCGCTTGCTGTGGCTCCCACTAGCACTAACAATGGGAATGTATGTTAACTTTTCTAGCAAACTGGGGCACAGGAGCAGAGCTGCAGGTTGGCTCGTTTTCCCAACATTGGCAGTGCAGTTTGAAACAGCTTCTAGCCATGATCAGTGAGGAGGCAGGGGTGGTGACTAAATAAGCAAACTGGTTAGAAAGAGAAAATCCATTTCTGGATCTGCCTTAATTCCTTTTCCTGTTGCTGTGAAAAAAAAAAATACTCCAAGAAAAGCAACTTAAGAGAGAAAGAATTTATTTGGGCTCTCTTTGGATGAACAGTCCATCATGGTGGGGGAGTCAAGGTGGTAGGAACTGAGGCAGTGGACATATCACACCATTCACAGTCAGAAGGCAGAAGGGGAGGAGTGTTCATCCGGCTTGAGATGCCAAAGAGAAAGCATTCCAGGCTGGGGTGTAGCCCATTAGCAGAGGGCTTGCCTGGCATGTGTCAAACCCTAGGTTCAATCCCCAGCACCACATTAAAATGCATGCAGTGTGGTTCACAGTCTGTCCTGGTATTTGGGACTTCAAGTTAGGAGTTCAAGGTCACTCTTGGTGCATTATTATGCTCTAGCCCATTCTGGGCTATGAGATACTGTTTTAAAAAATGGAGTTAAAAAAAAAAGCTTAGGGGTTGAGAGCGGTTCTTGTTTTGTCATGGAGACTAGAGTTCATATCCAAGCATCCATGTTGGATGTCTCATAAGCACAGCAACTCCAGCTCCAAAGGATCTGATATCCTCTCCTGTCCCCACTCCCCTGGCACACACACAGATAAGTAATGAGAGGAAACACAGGTATTTAGTGAATAAAAATTTAATTAAAAAACTAAAACAAGAAAAAGAAAACGTATTTCCAATGCATGCTTCTGTTTTCATGTAATCTCTGAGATAAAGGGAAATAGAAGACAGGCATCTGCCAACTTGTACTTACGAAAATATACAGTGGGTCGTATTCCACAGACATGGCTAAGCCCTCGGGCGGTTTCATACTCAAGATGGAGGGCTTTGCTGAGAGCTGTGCGCTGCAGTCCTTCTTGGGTAGGGTTATGATGGTAGTGACTTCATCCTGTGTAAGAATGACCTGTTAATCTTCTTTTTTCCTTAAAGAGTTATTTATTTTACTTTATGTATATGAACGTCTGCCTGCATGTATGTGCAATACCTGTTGGATCCCCTGGAACTGGGATTACGGATGGTTGTGAGATGCTAAATGGATTATGGGACTCAAATGTGAGTTTTCCTCAAGAACAACAAATTCTCTTACCCACTTAGCCATCCCTCCAACTCAATGACCTGTTAGTCTTGATGGCAGGACATGAGTGGTGAGAACAGTTCCTGAATTTGTAGATGTATTACCTCAGCACCATGCTTCAGGGGTCGAGCAAGTTTCTGAAGTCTGTAATTTGTTGAGGACTTATTGACAGAAAAGGGGTGATATCCCTTGATTTTGTATAACTGCGGAACCTGAAAATGAAAGAAGACAGCATATTGGTGGCACATAAGAGCCTGATTGTATAGCTACTTCCTTCAAATGGAAACATCCCTTCCAGGAAGAAGGCCCACTAAGGCTCAGGTAATAAATGAAACTCACAAGTCTCAAGAAGTCCCTGAAACTTACAAGATTCACAAAAAAGCTCCTCTCCAAGGTGAACAATTCCTGGGGAGAGGAGATTCTGTGATTAACTGAGCTGCCTGCAAATTGTACAGGGTGTTTCAGAGATGCAGCTTTAGTGAGTCCTCACCCATGACAACATGGGGTTTCAGTGACGCAGGTCCCTTTGAATCATCCATGTTCCTATACACATTCCTTCACCCATACACCTGTAAGTAATTCCAATAAACATTCTGGATCTTCAAGCTAGACTGAGGGAAATAATTTCTTTGTTTCGCCATCAGTGCCTTACCTAGAGTGAATAGACATTTGTATTTTCCTTAAAAAGAAAGTGGCCCACAAGAATCCATTACATTTTTGTAAGATTAGCATCTCAACAACAGCTGCCTAATAGGGCCAGTCTTGAGCCTTGTTCTGCGTCTTGGCACATATCAGTATTCAAATTATTTTCTCATACCAGATGGCTTCGCTGGAGACATACATAAACATATTTTTACTTTCAAAAGCACAAGTGGTCCTACACTTCAAGAAAAGCTGGCTATCCAGGCAGTGGTGATACATGCCTTTAATCCTAGCACTTGGGAGGCAGAGACAGGTGGATATCTATAGTTCAAGGCCAGCCTGTGTTGGGAGCCGACTCTTAGCCGAAAGTGGCTATCATCTTTACAGCC